GGGGGGACCTCAGAATGGCAAACTGTTAAAGTTGTGAGAGTGGCATTTACAGTCGTGTGGGTCTTTTGTTATAGATGCTTTGGTAAGTCTCCATCTGTTTGTGTCCATTGTTCCAATAATCCTCTATAGGCTGATTTCAAGGTGACATATTTCTTACTATAGAGACTTTTGTGTGCTGTTGTGATATGCAGCTTGAAGGCAGTACTGAGAAACTTCTGAGCTTGTGAAGCTTTCCAATAAATCATTATCTTATGCTAGGAACAATTAAATGTCTAATGTAATGTTCATGTATTCCTTCCTTAACATGTTCAGAACACAATTGTTTTTTTTTTTTAGACTTTAATGCTAAACTAATGTTACGTACACCGTTTCCGTAAAGGTCTACTAAAGATCAACGGACCAGCCCATCTCAGGAATTTACCCACTTATTATATCAATATGTCATTAGGGGTTTTAGCTGTTAACTTGTCAGTCTGTAGTCACTTGTGCAGCTGTTCAACAGAAGCAAGAAAATCTATAAGTTCTTTGACATTGTCACTGCAAAAATGTATGTTCCACATTTGTTTGGTGCATGTCTAAATCTGTTTTATCGTTATGGATTATAAGAGTTGCTGTTAATTATTTAGCTAAATAAACACATTCTGCCTTTATAAGCTAGGTTGGAGATCCTTATTGCAGTTTTGGTTAATCTGAATAAACATATATGGTCTTCTGATGTTGATGTAAGCTATCGCTAACAATGGCCATTGTCTAGGTGTCTCCAGGGCTCCTTTCGAAGAAATACAGCTCCTGTTCCACCATATTCATTGATGACAGTACTGTAAGCCAACCAAATTTAAAAAGCACAATCAAATGGTGAGTACATTCGACCAGCTGTTCAGAAAGGGGGACTGTGGCTGGGGGGCTTGTCAGACCACTACCAAAGGCAGCTACAGGAAGAACTGCCAGATGACAGATAGCAGAGAAAATTCCAAGAAGCAGAGCTTAATCTTATAGCTGGTTCCAACCACCAACCATACAGGCTCACGAAAACATGTAGAAAAGTGTCAGCTAAACACTGGTGAAACAGGGATGGATATATATATATACACACACACACACACACACACATATTGCACCAAATCTGTGTTCCTCAAATTAAGTTAAACTTGTCATACATCACGTCCAACATCAGTAACCCAGTTTGAAAATAATCAGTTGTCGGTGAGAGGAGTGACATTTTTACACTGCAGCCACATTACTGATACGAGCGAGACCATTTCATTCAGTCATCTCTGCAAAATTTTGGCTAGTGTTGCCAACACTTGAGGAAACTTCAAATACCAAGTGGGTTTAGCTATCTTGTGGCTTTCAAGTATAATGCTCTGTAGTTTTTGCCAGTGTTAGAATAATTCTTGAGTAATTGAGATGTTTTCTTCCATTCTTTGTTTTTCAGTGTTACACTAGCAATATACTATCACATAAAGAACAGGTATGTTTTTCCTCTTTGCATTTAAAAAATATCAGCATGTTATCAGCTGTCAAACAAGACATCAGACTATTTCACAGTGAATCTGCATGCAAAATGATGCATCGTGCCAAACGTGCTTTCTTTATAGCCTGAGGTATTTTGCAGTGTTAATAGATGAAACGTTAAGAAGTCTGGCTGAGCCGAAAATTCCCTGTGTGGTCCCCAAACTTCTCTGTTGGTCTTTTGCCCTCAGGGACTCGGACAGATCGCTGGACATCTTTGATGAGAAGATTCATCCATTATCAGTAAGTGCCGCATGTCTCAGGAGGAGCAGCATGCGATCCGGGGGGAGCTCTTTACACACAATCATTCGCGCTAACTGAAGAAGCAGCCCCCAGCTTAGACTTCCGCAGGGAAACAAAATTCTGTGTTATCTTTGATACAGACTGATAACAGCATACTTTCAAGAGAGCTTCTTTTGAGTAGTGCATTGCATTAGTTAAACAGCAGCTTTTGTTACCTACGGTCCTCTCTGGCTTCTGCTCTTGCCGCATTGCTTCCTGCCTTGTGTTATAATGCTATCTGAACGGTGACTTCTATATATTACTTCCATATTAGCCACAATTAAAAACTTCATAACATTCTACCAAACGTTAATTGCATGATGTCTGTGTTCAGTAGGAAGGGAGTGTCTTTTGTTCCCCTCTGCTGACTTATCACATATTATCTCTTCTGCTAAGACTGGTCGCCATGGGATGACTGTATACCATGATAGAAATTCTGAAATAGTTGTATCATTAGTGCTGTTGGAGCAATAGTTAGCACTGTTGCCCCACACCTCTGGGACCAGTGTTTGAGTCTCTGCCATAGATCCATGTGTGTGGAGTTTGCATGTTCTCCCCATGTTGTCGTGGGGTTTCTTTCGGGTACTCTGGTTTCCCCCCACGGTCCAAAAGCACGCCGAGGCTGATTGGAGTTACCAGACTGTCCGTGGGTGTGAATGATGTGTGTGTGCCCTGTGATTGGTTGGTACCCCACCCTGGGTTGTTCCCTGCCTCTGAGATAGGCTCCGGACCCCCCCGCAACCCTGAATAGGACAAGCGGTTTCAGGAAATGGATGGTTTGCTGCTATTCTATATCAAGGTTTAAATGGTGATGTCACAACACATTAATATCTGTGACACCCAAAAATATGTTGCTAATGTATTACTAACACATGAAAAATCTTAGATTTAAAGTCCCCAATTCATTTTAATTCATATTTACTTCCTAAAAATGTGACAGTTTGCTGTAATTTACATAATAAACGACACCCCCCCCCCTATGAGGAAATGGAGGGTGCATGTATTGTTGACAGCAAATTGCTCCCTCAACAATAAAGAACCCATTCAGCTGTCTGGACACATTTTTGATTCTGGAAAAAAAGACTAAAGTTATTGTTGAATGACTCAGTTTCTAGAGCATGTGGCAAAACTGTAGCGACCAAAACACATTAAACCATATAGTGTGTGTGTGTGTGTGTGTGTGTGTGTGTGGGTGGTCTCCTTGTCTTGTACTCTGCGACATATGAAAGCCCAATACAGTGTTATGGATGTGTTATGAAACTTGTCCTCTAGGTGGCAGTATTGGATCATGACTCCCTCAGCATCCTAGTGATGTTTTGAGGCTAAAGATTTAGGGAGAAGGTTATAAGCAATTCAATAGTCAAAATATCCGGGAACCAGTTTATTGATGGTAAAACTGTTATGGGAGGCTGACTAGGGCAACTGCCTTGCAGAGAGAGCAGGTCCCAGACAACTACTCCCGGATTGATCCTGACCACAAGCTAATCTACCGTTTCGTCCGGACGCTCTTCAGTGCCGCCCAGCTGACTGCTGAGTGTGCCATTGTCACTCTGGTGAGTGTAATGTTGCTCTGTGTCTTCATATTCATTTAGATCCAGAAAGAATAACATTAATGAGTCGTCAGTTGCATTTGTGTCGTCTTTGATCTGGGGTGTCAAACTCCAGTCCTGGAGGGCCGGAGCCCTGCACATTTATGGGTTTCCCCTCATTTAACACACCAGATTCAACTCCTTGCTCCTCCTTGTGCTAATTACCACACAGCTCTAGAACTGAATCATTTGTGGTGGAACAGGGAAAGAACTAAGCTACACAAACCTTGTGGGTGCAGTTTTCTAAAGATTAAATGGAGTTTAGAATGTTTTGACAGGTCTAGCTGTACATTGTGGCGATATTAGTGCCAGTGCCCATTCCTCTTCATTGAACTAGAATTTTCATAATCTTGAATCTGGTGAAGGTTGCTCTTTTTGCCGCTCCTCTTGAAGGTGAATGGCTCATTATTTCTATCAGGTGTACCTGGAGCGTCTGCTGACCTACGCTGAGATGGACATCTGCCCCTGCAACTGGAAGCGCATCGTGCTGGGGGCCATCCTGCTGGCCTCCAAGGTGTGGGACGACCAGGCCGTGTGGAACGTGGATTACTGCCAGATTCTTAAGGACATCACCGTGGAGGACATGTGAGTGGCCATTGTTGTCTGCCGTCTCCATTCATTGTGACTCTTAACCGTAATGATACCGCACCAGTGTCATCATTGAAGAGCCTGTGTAATCAAAGGCTGTTCCTTGTACAATAGTTATTTTAGTCAGATGACAGGTTTTTACTCTTTTGTTACTACTCAGTTTTGAGTGTGAGATACTGAGTATCACTCCTGGAGCTGGTCATACAGCTTCCTCCCTTTCATTTTCTGTAGCGGATGAGCGTACTCATTGAGGCTGGGCACTAAGCTATCTGAAGAAATTAGATTTTTGAAGCCTTCCCTCTGAGCTGGTTACAGACGGCATATCCCCGAGATTCGCTCCTTTTATAGGCAACCTGGACGGTCCAGTGTGATTAGCTTGTGTCGGTTCGCCTGTCCGCAGACATGTCCCCCAGCTTTCCACATCACAGGCGTGCAGGTTTATTTTCATTATTTTCATTCCCTTTATTGAAACCATTTTTGTAAGATGCGCCTGGGCCTGCTTGAGTGCTCTTGTCCCTCTAGGATAATGCCACGGCTCCCAGCCACTCCATTAGTTGCCCCTAGCGACCCCCCCCCCCCCCCCTCGCTATCAGGGCAGTGGGCTCCCAGCACACCCTCAGCCTGTACCTTTTGGAGAGCCTCTATCAATATTCCTGCCTGCATCCTTTCTAGAAAGTACCGTAACCTCACTTGGGAAGATGGATTGTTCTCTAAATGTGAAGATTTTATGCATATTGTTCTATGACCCAAATTGAAAGATATTTATTGATCTTTCAACTTTGTTTTAAAAGTGACCATCCAGGTTCCTCATCATCCTATTTAAAATTTTAACCATAAGTGAACAGTCACAACTTCCTAAAACTGTTTAAAGCTTTTTTGAAAAATTCTTTTCTGACAGGTAATTCTTGAAATGTTTCATGATATTATGTCATTATTTGTAATTTAATTCTGTTTGGCAAGTTACATATTGCAAGATATTGTCACTATATAATAAATTCCTACGTCCAGCGAATCATATGTGTTAAAACACTGCTGTACATTTCTGTCCGTGCTGAAGTTATAATCTTATCCACTCTTTGGTCTTAATGTCAATTTTGCCTTTATCCTTACGGTAAGGATGGGTCCCCCAGAGCAGTTTTGCAGTGTGTCCTGCCTCTTCTGCAGGCATATTGTGTTTGGAGTGGGCTTTGCATAGTGGTGTCTCGCTCTGTTCTCTCAGGAACGAGATGGAGAGGCACTTCCTGGAGCTGCTTCAGTTCAATATCAATGTCCCAGCCAGTGTCTACGCCAAGTATTACTTTGACCTGCGCTCCCTGGCCGACGACAATAACCTAAGCTTCCCTTTGGAGCCCCTGAGCAAAGACCGAGCCCAGAAACTAGAGGTCAGGAGGCTTTGGTATTTAATCAGCTGGCGGATATATCATGTGACCTCTATGTCCTGTCCTATATCTTGAATAACAGTCCTAATGCTTTGCTTATGAGAACATCAAAATACCTTTGCAACTTTTATGTCCACTATGCTGCTTGCAATCATGCCAATTAAAGTATAATGATTAGGTATGTGTTGAGTAAGAAGAAAAATGAGTAGAACATTGCCAGAGATATTAGAGATATTTTTGAGACTTATGACGCTTTTCCTCTGTCACCAAGAACCAAGCCATACCTGACCCACAAAGAGACTTTTCCATTGTAAATTGTGTGAGCCGTACCTGAGCCGCACTGACACAGCACCGCTTACTAGCAGGGCCAAAAGCGTGACTAACAAGCTGGTTGTATTGATGCATTCCTGATAACCTGCGAGGTGGAAGAAGTGCTATACAACGGCTGAATGGAATGGATTAATAATACAAATTTACGTAAGCTAGTGCTAATTCCGCCGACATTTGATGCTAACGTAACACGTGTCAAAGACGTAGTGGTGGAAATTAGCACATAGTAACTCATTATATACTCCATGTGAACAGTAAACAAGCATCTCTTTGCTGTTGCTGTCCAAATCCAGTAACACCTTTACCTAGCAAATCCTTCTGCAGTTGAAAATGGAACCGTGTAGTTAGTGTCTCTCCGTGGTATATGGCTCGGGTACGACCTGGTTCCTGTATGCCAGTGAAAAAGCACCATTATTCTCTATATATACTATGTTGAAGAATGCCTGTTAGCTGCCAAGGTCTCTCTAGTTGTCGTCATTGGTGATGTGCAGCCAGGTTAGGGACCAATCCCTGAGATCCCAAGCTTTTCCCACTGTTACGGTGCTTTGGGTAAAATCCTGTAATGCATAAATAAATGTAAATGTCATGTCTTTGGTCATTGAACAACTGTGCCTTTGATTAGAAAAAATATCCTTCCAGTGGAAGGGATGTTGGGAAGAGGGATGCAGTGGGGTGGGGGTTTATCACATCCCACCTGCTGATTCTTCGGTTGTGCTGTATTTCTGCATTCAGGCCATCTCCAGGCTTTGTGAGGACAAGTACAAGGACCTGAGCAAAGCAGCGATGCGGAGGTCCTTCAGCGCCGACAACCTGGTGGGCATGCGGCGCTCCAACGCCGTGCTGTCGTAGCAGGAGGAGCGCACACACCCGACAGTATACATGTGACCTCATCTGGCGCAGAGACGGCCTTCCTGCTCACTCCATGCCAGAGACATTTTGTCAGCAAGAGATTCGCTGCTCTAAGCGTTGTGGCGAAAAGCATCTACTTAGAGACAAAGAATGAGTCAGGGTTTTGTGTTTTGTTCTTTTTCTTTCTTTTTTTTGCTTACTATGTAGGCTAATAGCTGTGAAATTTGTTTTTAAATGAAATCATTTGCAGATGGAGTATTTTAAATAAACACTAATCATGTAACAAATTTGTTTAACTTATACATGTCTTTGACACCGAAGGGCCTGTTCAACACACTCGGATGTTTCCTTGCTGACACAAGGCGTCTTTGAACAATGTTTCATTCTCTGCGCAGTACCATTCATTTGGGTGTGCAGTCTTTGTTTGATAAACAGGGCTTTAGATTGAGGCCTCAGAACAATCCTTTTCTGGAAATGATGGGACCTATTCAGGATTTTTATATCTGAACTGGTGGCACAGTAGTAAATTGCATATAAACTTGGACTATGTGTGTCATATTAGTCCAAAATCCTCTACTGCATTGAATCCTCCTCGCACAGGGATGGCAGACCTGATCCATGGAGGGCCACTGTGGGTGCAGCTTTTTGGGATGACCTCTGTCAGCCAATAATAAAGCAGCGGTTCTCAACTCCAGTCCTGTGGACCCACTGTTATTGGCTGATTGAAAGGTCATCTCAAAAACCCGCACCCACAGCAGCTCACCTTGGATCTGGTTCGCCCCCCCTGTTCTAGCATCTAAGTAAAACTTAAAGAATAAAAAGAAAGACGTGCTGTTGTCCTGGCTGGCAGGGGCTAGAAAGAATAACAAGGTGATGTGGAATTTTGGACAATTCAATAAGGATCAATAGGGAAGGAGGAATGAAAAAGAATTCAAGAATGTAAAAGTATGTGCTACCTGTATTCTATGTGGGCACTCAAAACAGCAGTCACTTTTGAGAAAGATTAAAGCGTTTCTTTGAATGGCTCCCTAGCCTTATCACAGACTGCTGGCCAAACAGTCAATGAGATTGAACGCTACAAGTGTACAGCTGCCCGGAGCTCTGGCGTGGCTTTAGAATGCACCAGCAAGACCTCATCTGGAGCCCTGGACTGAAAGTACACTGGTATTCCAGTGCGACAAGAATACATTTTTATAAAAATGTAGTTTGTCTAGCTTCAAGCAAAAAACAGGAGCCATAATGAGATTGTAGTTATTGGAGGAATAGTACTAGATTTACCAGGTTTTCACCAAGTGCAAAATTTTCATATATATTTACCCTCTTTGTGATATTGCTATTTAAATATTTAAATAACTTTCTATTTTTATAACAAGACCCTGTACTGGATAAGTGGTTAGAGGATTGATAGATTTGTATGAATTTTATAAGATGGGCTGTATTCATTGTTTAAAATCTTTTAAGTTAAACAAAACATGGGTTAGTCATGCAAAGAGTGATTGCAATCCCCAGAAGCAGATCTCTAACCAGCAGTGGGGGGATTTAGTTACGGGGCCTAAACATGGATGATGAAAGCAAACTACTCCCTCTGGGCCTTTGTTCCATTTATGATATTGTGTCATGCATTATGCCCAGGAACGTTTTGCACTGAAGCTCCATGTCACTTGGCTAAAGAAAGTGGATCAATTTGGGTGCTTAAAATTCAGTACCTGTTTACTGTGAATGGAGTGCACCAATATTATTCAATTACTGAAGTACACTGCTGTGATTATGCTGAATTCACTGATGCACTGGCAAAGTAATACTTTGGAAAACCCTGTGAAAATAAGGCTGATGGTGGACCTGAAAATATGAGCATCTCGGCTCAGTAAGCCAAAGCATAGTGGCCTCTGACTCCAGCGTGATCTCTGGTGGCCATCGATCCATAAAAAGGGTCACTTTAGCTATGACCAGAGTGCTGGGAAAGCTATAGAGTGGGAACCTGTAGCTTCTGTCAAGTTATAGCTGGTTGCAGGCAAGTCCTTCATCACCACAATACTCTGCTGATTTTCAATCAGTGACAATGACCTCATATCTTGTACTATCCACTAAATATATGCTGTGCTGCAAAGGAGGGGCATGAAGGCTAAAAATCTCCACTCCAGTGTTGGCAGTTCCCATGTTCTCCCCCTGTTCTGTAGGATTCTTCCAGCTACCCCAGCAGTCCAAAGACATGCAGTTAGGCTAACTGGACACCAAATCAGCATTTCCCAACCCAGTCCTCAGGGACCTCCAGATAGTCCACATTTTTGCAAAAACCAGGTTGGGAATGCTGCTCAAAACTGACCATGGTGTTTGCATGAAGGTGCCCTGTGAAAGACTGGCATCCCATGCACAGTTTACCTGCAGCCTCGCACTGTGTGCCGCCTGGGATAGACTCCAGGCCACTACACCACTGACCAGCACTGGAAGTTGTTGGAATAGTCCACTGGAAAGAAAGGCTTGCAATTTATATTGATTTATTAAGTATAATCTGTATTGATGGCAGCTATATTCTGTAATAGCTCAAAGTAAGTACAGTGGTACCTCGGTTCTCGAACTGAATCCGTTCCGGACTCCGGATCGAATCCTAAAAAGTTCGAGTTCTGATCGAAGTTTCCCACATAAGAAATAATGGAAAACCAATTAATTGGTTCCCGGCCCCCCAAAATTACACCTAAATATTTTTTTATTTTATTTTTTTTTTTTTTAAGCATTTAAACACAAAATGAACAGGATAAAACAAGAAGAGCATTTTTTTCTTAATGGCTTCCAAAACGATAAAGATCTTATCTCAACATTACCCCTGTCCTGCCCCGATTGTCCGCTCCTTCCGTGTGCCACGCCCCCTCGTTAACCTTGTGTGGGATCCCCATGTGATCAGCTGTTTCTGGTTGTTGTCATTAGTCCTCTGTATTAAGTCCGCGGAAGGACAGAGAAACACCACTAATATGTATAAAACATGTGATGTGCTTGATGTACACATTATGACAACAGGATCTGTGAAATTTTCCCCCCAGTCTAAGTTAAAGTGTTCAAGAAACCCTCTAATGGATGGAACCCTCTAAGAGTATAAAACTAGTTTGTAGTGGTTATAATTGCGTTAGTGCAATCAGAAAAGTTGATTGGGGTCATGCAACATTTGCAGTTTTTTTTTTTTAAATTTACAGCTACCATACGATTCATGAAAGTTTTCAGTCCGAAAAAAAAGAAACCATATGCAATGTAATACCATGGTTGAGGTGTTTAATGGAATGTCGGAATATAATCGCATGTTACAACTTATAACACGTAGTAAATGTAAAGCTTACTGTACATGCTAAAAGCAATATGGCTGTGATGATATCCTCTGTGACTATTAGGTAACAGCTGGAGAGCAACAGTGACACGACATACAAACATTGCAAAATCGGTAGTTAGTGAGAGCAAAGCTGGACAAAATCACTCAATATTTGGTTCACAGACTGCACCACATTTTATTCTCTACCAAAATCAGAAGTGTTAATAAAACAGTACTTTTGGCAAATGTTTAGAAGTATCATAAATATCTAAAATCCTTAACATCTCAGCATGTGAATGACTCCGCTTACAAGGCTGCAGTCTGGAGTATTTACAACAGTTCCTCAGAAATATGTGGAGGGGGGAAAAAATCATTCTTTCAGGCAACGAAATGCTCACAAGTAAGATTATAACCTATTAATGATTAATACACTGGTGTACAATATTGAGGGCCAAAAAAAAAATTACACACTAAACAGAAACATTTTACAGGATCTGACTAAGACAGGCTGGACAGAGGTTTACTGCTGGGGTTTTTCAATTTTTCGTGGCTCCAGCTAGAACTCTGCTGCAATCAAATTGATTTGATGTTTCTCTGCCATGTGAAAAGCCATTACTAACATATTCACAGTGCCCAGTATCATGGCAGAGCTGGCCGTCTATAGTTTGGGGAGATTGTGAAGCACCTTGAAATCCTTTGTTGCATAGTTGGACTCTGCCCCAAGTCAAGTTTGTTGTTGGTTTCAAAGTCTCTTCAATATTTTACTATACAATTAAATCCAGTAAAACTATCAAAGGTGCACTAGTAAACTAGTCTGAAACCAGTAAGCAGACCAGTTTATTGTAAAATAAACCGGGGGGAGTCCAGAACAGGTACTACATTTACTAAAGCTATACACACAGTGTAAGAGTCAAGTACCATAAAACTGGAAAAAAAGCATGGTTGTGCAATAATGCACTCTGATCAGTTATTTTGATTTTGTACACCCTTTAAAATCTTCCACATAGCTACACGATTATAATAAAACGGTAAAGACGACTGGGATAGGGTTGTAACGAGCATGACACACCACTAGGGGGAAGCAATATCATTCCCGGACAAAAGAAAAAAAAACACAACCAAAGAACTGACAAAGCTGCTGAACACTGATGTACATCTGCACTAACCAGGAAATTTCAGAAACCTAAAAGGAGCTTAGGGCAACTTCTCCATAATCATAATAAAAAACAATGTGTTTTTTTTCCCTTATTACTTTTGTCAATCATAAAAAAAAGTGAATTTCAATGTGCCATAAAGACTTTTTCTGTACATGAAGAAGTGCTCCACACTTACAAATATTATCCTTCTTCTGGGGATGAACATAGAAATGGCTAATGAGACATTGAGTCCGTTCACCCGTATTTGCCAACTCCAGATTGAACAGAAAGTGGTCACTAAACGGTAGCATTTAGTAGATGAACATCTGCCCTGCATACGTTACCTGTGCAGTGTCTCACACTGAGGCAGGCATTTTGAGATGATGCATCCCTATTACCTGTAATGTACCCGACCATCAAATTTATACTGGAACTCCATTATGATGAGATGCACTATACCCCAGGAAATTAAGAGTGAAATTATCCTGCAGACATGCATACAAGCATTTACACACACACACACTCACACACACACACACACACACACACACACACTTCATTGTCCTACGGCCTCTTCAATACCAGACAAATATTCAAAAAGGCAAGCACAAGGACAAAAGGATATAGCTGAATGGGAACTGTACACAAGACCAAAGGCTAGTTTTAGCATCCCGAGGAGCATGAAGCTGAACATGGAGTAAAGGACCCAAGAGAGAATCAGCCCTGTACATCACAAGCAGGACAGTCAGCTGCTCCCATCTCTGGACCCATTAATTACATGAGTTCCTATATCCAGAGTACAGTGATCTCAGATCATAAAGAAAAATATATATATATAAATAAATAAGTCCATTATGATGGATGATGGATTTTTCCTCCCCACTGTTTTATGATTATATTTATTCTCCAATCCGTTGTCACTGAGGCATTCGCTTTTGAAGGACTTCCTCTACATTTGGCACACGGTCGCTCCTAATTCTAAAGGCTAATTTTAATTAAGTAGTACACCAAAGCAGCAAATTCAGATCACACAGCAATACAAACACTTAGCCATATTTGCATTTCAGTAACCAAAACAGTATCTCTCTCTTTTTTTCCCCCCCCTTCATTTTATTTCCTCAGTCTGTGTTCATTCCGGCACTTTTGTGTCCGTAGTCCCAGTTAGACGCTAGGGGAAAGTTAAAGGATAAATGTGGTATTTACAACACAGGAAATAAATTATTCTTTCCACCTCTCCACACTTTTTTTTTTTGTTTTTTTTTTTAAATCAAAAAGAGGAATGTCGATGGGGATCAGAAATGTCTGTAGTCCAAGACCATCTGGCTGGAGGTGAGCCAAGGTCACACGTGCGACAGAGGCGTGGGCTTGTGATAGGCCCCCAGTCCGGCACTGCCGGCACGGGCGGTCAGCGCTGCGCTTGCTTCACTGTACATGGAGGCGCCAGTGGTTTTACGGCTACGGCAGGGGTGGCAGTGAGCGGTGAACTTGCGCCAAGACTCCAGGGTCTTCCCGGACCAGATCCACACCCCGGACGTGATGCCTACCACCAGGCACATCAAGTACTTCAGCATGAACACGGCGTAATCCGGG